TAGAGAAGACCTTGAGATGACTAGGAACAGAAATATTTGCAATAAAAGAGATTGATAGTAAATGATATTTACTATCATTTTAGAAAACATACTGATACAGATAAGCAATCAGGAGACCAGAAAAGTTAAGCAGTCTGACCAAGGTCACAGTTTTTTCCTGACAAACTCTAGAGTTGAACTTGGGCTTCCTTGATGTCAGACAGCATTCTCTCCCCTATCCTATACTGCTTCCCCTAGTATTTAATAGTTTATTAGCATAGACTAAATATACTCTGTGGTTAACAACTGATTTTGTTGGTAAAGTTTTGGTGAACATAGCAAAGTATACATTGTTGTGGTAGTGTCAAAGACTCTAGCAGTCTGTATCTTTAAAGAGTTTAATTTTTAAGCTTCTTTCCTACTTTTAGAACTTTATCCCAAGGAGATATAGTCGCTTCTTGAACAAGATGGGTTTAAACTGCATAGATCCACTTACCCGTGGATCTTTTTCAAATATACTAGGAGATTTCCTTACTACTGTGAAGCAACCTATCAATTACACTAGACTACTCAGAGTAATCATATTGCTACTTCCTCATCAATGCATGAATCACTGTATTTATAAATGAATATGAATTTCTTTTCCACATTACCTTTTCATTTGTGATGTCTAGTGTTGATAATACATATAACATCCACAGTACTTTGTATCATGTAAGACAACATTGATGTAGGTACTGACAGATGGTGCATCTTACAAAAAGATGATGTACACTTACGGTAACAATAAATACAGTACAGTACTGCAAGTGTACTTTTCCTCCTTCTTATGATTTTCTTAATAACATTTCCTTCACTGTAGCTTAATTTATTGTAAGGATACAGTGTGTAATACATAAACATACAAAATGTGTATTAGTCAACTGTCTGTTATAAGTAAGGCTTCCGCTCAACAACAGACTATCAGTACTTAAGTTCTGGGAGAGTCAGAAGTTACACATGAATTTTTGACTACGTGGAGGGTCAGCATACTTGACCTCTGTGTTGTTCAAGGGTCAACTGTAATATAGAAGAAAAGGTTACATGCAAAAAGATGTCCACTACAACATTCTTTAGAATACTGAAAAACTGAAAATAATCTACATGTCCAATAATAGGAGAGTAGTTAAATACAGTAGATCCATGAATTTTAGAACCATTAAAAAAGTATGAAACCACAAAGAAACATGAAAAATTTTATTCATCTCATTCTAAAAGGAAGTAATTTAACAAGAATGATAATTATATTTTATAATTACAACCAATTAAAAATTAAATATTTACATAGATAAAATCCAGAAGACAAAATCAAAAAATGAAGTTATTTTAGGACTGTTTGGATTGGGAATGCCTTTTTCTTTCACTTCGAGTTCTCTTCATAATAAAGAAATGTAATAATAAATTGTTTAGAATGAACTCCTTTCTTTACTTTATGGGTATTTAAAAAAGTTTAAATGATCCAAGTGACCTTTAATGCATCATGATACTATGTGCAATCAAATGAACGACACAAGGTCAGAACCCTCATTACAGAATGAATTCTGAGGAGGATAACGATGTATTTCAATCCTTGACTACGCAGAACTTAGGAGCTAGGAGAAGACGTACAACATATACGTGGCGTACCTCAGCCCTGCTCCACCTCCAAAATCTTTAACACCGCATCTCATACCAGCACTTTTCCCCGCCCAGCTTTCACACCACCTGCTCCTTTACATCACTAGGCCTGCCAGTCTATTGGTCCCTACATTTTCTTTTGATCTACCAGCTTGGGTTCATTTTCTGTTTCATTCAACTAAGGCCTATCATTTCAGCCACCCCCTCCCCAAGAGCCACAATATATTGAACATTCATCTTCCCAATTCACCTGCCCTGAAATCCCCCATTGACTGGGCAATGCCAATCATGCGCCATCTCACTGGCAGGGGTGCAGGAATCCCCTGGACAAAACCATCCCACATCCCTTCGTGTGTCCCTGGCCAGCCCCTCTGTCCCTCCCTGCCGTCTTCCCTGAATCTCATCCTTGCCTTTCCTTCCCCTCCCCCAATGACTTTTACTGCACAGAAGGAAATTCTTAAATGAAAACTTTCTTTCCTTGAGCCAAGCCCAAAGCCTGGTACTTTCTGCATCGATCCTTATTCCCTGCCCTCCAGTTTCAGCTGTGAGAGGACCCTGCATCTGTTGTTTGGATCCAAACCCTCTCGCCTGCAATAGCCTTTGTACCATCCATGAACGTGTCACCCGTCTTCTACTCCGCCTGAACTATTATTTTTTTCCCTTATAAAAAACACCTGTCTGCCATCTTACAAGGGAGCTTTTCCTTTAGGACACATACTCTTCTAAATGATTACCATTTGCCTTTCTCCTCTCTCTTCCATCCATTTCAAAAAGATGTGTCCTACCTTGGCTGTCTCCACCTGATAGAGCCTGACTCCTCCTACCCCTCCTCCCAAACTGTTCCCACAGAAGTCAAACCCAATGCTCCAATGTACAATGTTCCTTTTAATTCCTTATCTCACTTGAACCCTCAGCTGTGTTTCCTTCCGTTGGCCATCCCCAGTGTTAAAATACTCTCTTTTGGCTTTTCGGACACTCTGTTGTTATCTTAGTTAACAGAGTGAATAAACTTCAGGCCACCCAAGGAGGGGAGAGCTCGATGGGCCCTCAGCTCAAGAGAGAGCTGCAGACGGGCTCTCTCTGGAGTACGCCTGTGCCCTTCTTCCCTCCCAAGCATGCAACTTTTTTTTTCTCCTAAACTCTAAGGGTCCCCATGAGACTTGCAACCAGGGCAGCAGTGGGCAGCTGCAGCTCGTCCCAAGCTTACCCGCTGAAACTTCTCCAAGGCTCCCTTCTCCTCTGACCCTCCAGTGAGCCAAAGCAGCCCCACCCTGCCTTCGCTCACTTCTGTCATTGTGACTTTACTTCTCAGTGAATTCCCACAGCCTAGCGTGGCTCACTTCTTTGCTATAACACTTCTATACAGTTAAAGCGGCCCCCTCCCCCCACCACCACCCAGGCTCTCTCCTGTTGCTTCTTCTTCCCTAAGTCTTTCCTTTGTTTCACTGTCCTCAGCTTTAATAAACATACTCTCAAAATAAAATATAAAAAATAAAAAAAGAGGAGAGCTTGCACTTTGAGAAGAGTGGTGGCATAGCAGCTATTAGACTGAAGATCTGCTAGATGAAGTAGTGAGAACTGAATTCCTTCCTCCAGACGAGTTTTGTGGACTCTATGTCAAGGGGACTAAATGATTCAGTGATTTAGGGTGGGTGGAACTCAACCATAACGATCAGGAGGACTTCTTATTCTTTTATCTTATAGAAAAAAGGTGGAGACTGGATCACACTGTAGGACTTGTTGACAACGTTGACATTTTCCTCTCTTAGGGTCTGACTGGAAGTGAGGGAAGTGGAGTTCAAGTCCCCTGGGTGGCCCTCACGAGTTTCAAATAGCTAAAGCTCCTAACTGCATTCATTCCTTTCAATGAGATGAAATAAAATTTTCATTATTAAAATAATATTACTCTTTAATTTTAGTACCATTCTGATAAAGTACAATTGGTATTTGATTACATATTATTCGTTGGCTGTTCTGATTCTTTCTTACTCCTAAGTAATATGACCCCTATCAGACTGCAAATGCCTTGAGGTCAAGGGTCCTCTTTAAGTCTCACTCTCTTCAGTCTCTCTTCCATTGCTTAAACATTTGGAAGATGCTTTAAAAAAAAAAAAAAATCCCACTGTCTAATTTAGTGAGTATTTTAACTTTTTTAATTTCCAGGAGTTTTGACTCCTGAATTCAATATATTACTCTGGATGCACTGGCAGTACCTTGGAAGTACAAGGCACTGGCAGTACCTTGGAAGGCAGAAGGGAAGCTGGTACCTGAGCAAGGTATGAGCCACTCAGAGGCAGCCTGGTGCTGCCACACAACTCGAGAAGTGTCATACAGAAAGTGTTTACGTTGTTCGTACTCTACGAGCTGCAGGAGAGACAAGGACACCTCCACACCTCACGGATTTAGCCCAAAGTTGAAATGGTCCACCACCCTTTTGTGTATGTTGTACCAACCTAGAGATAAAAGCCAGAATCCCAAACAATGTCCAGAGCTAATTTGGGTTCGCTTTACAATAAGTCCTGTGAATCCTTGTTCAGCTCCGTAGGCCAAGCACTCCCAACACCCTTACTGTGCACGGCAACTAGGTCTTTGGGGAACTTGGATCAGGCATTCTACAAATAATCAGAAAAATAATCTGGAGAGAGAAAAGAAATCACTTATGGTCCTGTGCATTTTTTTTTCCTTGTGTGGGTCCTCCACCAGCTGGAGAGAGATTTAAAGGCTCTACACCTCTTGCAGTCTTTGATTTCCTTTTTAAAGTCATTTTATTTTTAGAGAACTTTCCGCTTTTCTTAGACGGCCAGGTCGGAGCACCTGCCAAAAAGTTCATTTCCCTTTTTAAAAAAATGCTAGAATTTGAACATAGTCATTGAATTCATAACAGATTTGCCATGGTATAATCCCCTGAGCACTACATTTTGTGGCTGAAAGCTGACTGAAAGTGGGTCCATAAATTAACGTACAAAGGCAAGAGGACCCAGAGTTAATTTTTTTTCCAGATAAAATAGGATTTATAACCTGAAATCGTCAACCCTCCAGGGCCCGTGGTACAATCCCTCAGGTGCTGTAGGTTGCAGCTCCTATGTTTTCCGGAAAGACTGGCCCAGGCACTGGCAGTACCTTGGAAGGCAGAAGGGAAGCTGGTACCTGAGCAAGGTATGAGCCACTCAGAGGCAGCCTGGTGCTGCCACACAACTCGAGGAGGAGGAGCTGGCGTCCAGACCCACCGATCCAGAAGAAACACGAGCCTTAGGCCCGCCAGGTGAGGAAAGGAATGCCCAGCCGGCTCACCTCCAGAGGCGGGGCGCGGCTCGCGATTACCAGCAGGGGCGGAGCCGGCGCGGATCACCTGGGCGGAGGCGGAACTGTGGGGTCTGCTCGAGGCACGGAGAACCTGGAACGTAAGACTCACCTGTGCGGGGGGCCAGAGGCAGGACCAAAACTCACCTGCGCCCGCGGAAACCTGACGCAGGAGTAGCCCCCGGGATTGCCCAGTGCAGAGGGGGAGGCGACCTGGCTGGCCCCACCTGAGTCACCCTCGGTCCATCTGTGCCAGCGGGGCCGCCATGACCTGGAGCGCCACGGCACGGGGCGCCCACCAGCCCGACAACACCGCGTTCACGCAGCAGCGCCTCCCCGCCTGGCAGCCGCTGCTGTCGGCCAGCATCACCTTGCCGCTCTTCTTCTGCGCGGGCCTGGCCTTCATCGGCCTGGGCCTGGGCCTCTACTACTCTTCCAACGCCATCAAGGAGATCGAGTACGACTACACGGGCAACCCCGGCACCGGGAACTGCTCGCGGTGCGGCGTGGCAGACCAGGACCGTGCGCCGCCTCCTACCTGCTTGTGCGCCTGGTACTTCTCACTGCCCGAGCTCTTTCAAGGCCCCGTGTACCTCTACTACGAGCTCACCAACTTTTATCAGAACAACCGGCGCTACGGCGTGTCCCGCGACGACGCGCAGCTGAGCGGGCTGCCAAGCGCCCTGCGCCACCCGGTCAACGAGTGCGCCCCCTACCAGCGCAGCGCGACCGGCCTGCCCATTGCGCCCTGCGGTGCCATTGCCAACAGCCTCTTCAACGACTCCTTCTCGCTGTGGCACCAGCGCCAGCCCGGTGGGCCCTACGTCGAGGTGCCCCTCGATCGCACCGGCATCGCCTGGTGGACCGACTACCATGTCAAGTTCCACAACCCGCCGCTGGTGAATGGCAGCCTGGCGCTGGCCTTCCGGGGAACTGCGCGCCCGCCCAACTGGCCCCGGCCAGTCTACCAACTCAGCCCCGACCCCAACAACACTGGCTTCATTAACCAGGACTTCGTGGTGTGGATGCGCACTGCGGCGCTACCCACGTTCCGCAAGCTGTACGCGCGCATCCGCCAGGGCAACTACTCCGCTGGGCTACCGCGCGGCGCCTATCGCGTCAACATCACCTACAACTACCCAGTGCGCGCCTTCGGCGGCCACAAACGCATCATCTTCAGCAGTATCTCGTGGATGGGCGGCAAGAACCCCTTCCTGGGCATTGTCTACCTGGTCGTGGGATCCCTCTGCATCCTCACAGGCTTTGTCATGCTGATCGTCTACATTCGCTACCAGGACCAGAACGACGAGGATGAGGACCAGGAGTGATTCCTGCTTTCAAAGCATCCATCCTGCGTCTTGCCAAAACTCTCTTGCAAGCTTCTAACGGCTTCTCCCCCCCGCCCCCAAGGTCCTTATCCAGTTCCAATCTAGCCTCACTTTTCCTGCTGTGAATGAGGGGACTGGAGAGAGTAATTACACCCCATGGGACACCACCAGGCTTGCTGGGATGCTTGGGCTGGATATTTGCAACAACCTTGCAAAATCTCCCCATCTACTTCACGATTTACTGAGTTGACACGTTAGGTTCTTAAGGTCCGTATCATTTGAGATCAAAAGGGACGGTAGAGACTTTTTTTCATATATTTAATGAAGAGTCTGAAACCTAGAGATGTTAGGAATTCATTCAAGATCAGGCAGCTTACTCATTGGCTCCTGATTCTGATTCTGGAGTGTTTACCACTGAAAGACAGTGGTTTTCTTCCCTTTTTCTTTTTTCTTTCTTTCTTTTTCTTTTGGCAGGGGGTGGGGGTAGGGGGTGGGAACGTGGGGTAGAGAGTGAAGCCCACAAATAACCTGCTGAAGCATGGAGGGTGGGGGAGACCATACTTTCTTAAAATGTAGATAGATTAGGGAGCACCGTCCCCAGAGATTCGGACTCAGTAAGGCTGGGGTGAGACCCTTGAAGCTGCGTTTTAACAAGCCCCTCTGGAGGTTGTTCCTGTAACCCCTCAAATTGGGGAAATACTGCCCTGAACAAGGTAATAAGTAGAATACTGGATGTTTCCCTATTTCTTATGTTTGAGGTTGGTCCTGAAGCAATCACCGGAGTCCAGTTTTTCAGGCCGTCCTTTATTCGCAGGGACAATGGCAATCAATGGTGCAGGTTTGGTCTAGCGCTCCACCTTGAACATGGAAGGGGATGTTTTAACCTTAGAGTCAGCTGGAAGGGATCTCAGAGGGAAAGTGCTTTTCCTAAGTCATATTTATACCTACCTTTTCCCTAAGGTCTAAGAAATTTTTAAATCTATGTTCTCAAATGAAGCTTGTTTGTTACTAGTAATTATGTTTAAATGAATGCTAGGGAATATAGTCTTATATGTAAAGTAGAATCTTAAGAATTATTTGAACACTTGAGATAATGTTAAACCCTGATTATCCTCTAAAATTATCCTAATATATATGAAGTTATTCTAAGAAGCAATAGAATTATTTTTCTAAAAATCTTTTTATGGCTATAGAACTTTAAAAATAACTTAGTGACATCATCTTAACCAGTTTATTTGCTGAAAGCAAACACTTACATGGCATTCCGTCAGACAGAATGCTCTAGTACCTACTTTCTGTTATAGCTACTTTCCAGTTACTACCATTTTTGCTCAGGCCAGTAAGGTGGTGCAAGACCTTGAAGTATTTTTGTTTTTAGCAGTCAAAGAAATACAAAACTGTATTATTTTACATTAATTTTGTTTTACTGTACTCTAGTTCTTTAAACATTAATAATTGATCGGCAGCATGCATGTTCATGACGTCTGATCAGATCTTTGGAATGTGATTTAGGAGATTCTGTTCCACTATTTCCATAAACTAAAAAGTTTAGCAATTTCAGCGTGTTGGTCTCCCAACTCCTGAAGGTGACATAACTTTATTGTCAGATTGCACACTGTGATTTTAAGCTATAAAAATATGATCATTATATCGAATAATTTGTATTTATTATTAATGTTTGATCTAGCAGTTCACTAGCCTAGCCCTTTATGTTGGAGAAGAGAATTTACTACATTTTTTTACTATGTAGTTGAGAGCAACTATGTATTTTGCTATCATCTGTACAATAGTCAGTCTTAAAATAAAATTTTAAGTGAGGCTACAAATTTTACTCATGATTAAATCTATGAGTAAAGTTCCAGGTCCTATTCTCTCAGTTTTTGAAAGAGAATAAAGGTTATGTTTGTTTTAACTTTGTTATCACATTCGCTTAATGCTTCTGAACTATGATCTTAAAGGCACAAATGGTACCAGCCTCTTGGCTCATTTGTTATTAACAGATATACTGCAGCAAGAAAATCACCTTTCTGAGTAAGGCTCAAAGTGAACTCAGTTTTTCGTTGCTAATTTCCTCAAACAATTTGAACTTACCTCAACATCAACATGTAGAATGAATCAGATGATCTTCAACTATTGTTTGAATTTGGTAAGATGTGGTGAATTTTAAAACATATATAGTATTAAAAGCTATTAATGAATGTGATTATAGCAGTCTTCTTTATTTCTGCTGCTTTCTCAAATTCTGAATTGCAATTATTTGTCAGGTATTTTGTACTACAAAACGACAGAAACTTTAAAAGCAAAAAAATGTGAAACATTTTCTTGTGCTTTAGCATTTTGTTTGCTATCCAGGATTCTAGCTGGGATTGAATTCTTTTGTTGTCAGTAAGTGTATCCTAGTTGAATCTGTCTTCTGGGCTGAAAAGAGGGAATCTCAACAATTGGTCTGGAAATGTGCTTTGGTCTATCTTGATAAAATAAAACACAAAAGAGAAACTAATGTTGTTAGTGGGAACTCCCAAAATAGAATAATATAACAAAGATTTTCCATGTTTCTCCAGAATCAAATCAATTAAACAGTTTACTAACCGTGCAGTGTTAAAAATCAGAGACAGAAAAGTAGTCTGGAATTTCCTTTAGTAACAAATATCACTTCACAATATATAACTATAGCCCTTTCTGCCTCACTTTAAATTCTTTGCTCTCTTTCTGTCATTGGCAATCTCAACAATCTTAAATTCTCAAGAGTTATTGGCAGAGCTTAATGTAATCAATTCCTTATATGCCCTTGGATATAAGTCATCAGTTACTGTAATAACAGTAAATTCCCTCTTTATTTTTATCAGACATTTCTTTGCATCCCAGATTTTTTTTTTCTATAGCTAAAACATAGCTGACTGATTTTAGATATTTTTTTTAACTTCAATCCCATCCCCAGCAGAATTTCTCTTCATTTCCCTCCAAAAAAACAGAGCAGTGTTTAAAGTGTCATTAAGAAGGTTGTAGTGAACCTGACTGAAACACATTAAGGTCCTAAAGAGATCTTACATGAGAGTAGCACCTTGCATAAAGAATTTGCAAAAATGTTAACAGTGTTGACTCTACATAAGACTAACAATGTGTATGTATTCAGGAAAAAATACTTCCCCATTGTTTTGGTCAGCAAGCCAGTGCTGGGCTTCAGGATCAGTCACCCCAAGATGTGCCTCTGCGGTATGCAGATTGTTTTGAGCTAAAGACAACTTTAGTTTATACAGATGACATATTGTAGAATTGTAGACCTGAAACCTACATGCTTTTATTAACCAATGTCACTCCAATAAATTCAATAAAAATTGACAAAAACAAATTTTTTAAATAAGAGATTATCAGAGATTACCTCTTTTGACCTATCTGTAGGGCAGGGCAAACCTTTATCTACTAAGCTGTGCTCTTATCACCCTGCAAGGACTCTCTGAAGCACACCCCCAAGCACCTTATCTCATCCCCAGCTCATGATGCCTTATACATCTACATTCTCTTTCTATCTCTGAACCTCTTGCGCTTGCGGGGCCTATGACTTCCTCAGGTATGTGGAATTCCCTTAAATTTGGTTATTTTCTTTTGCTAATCTGCCACATGTCTTTTTGATTATTAGACCAGCCAGAAGAACCCTGAGGGTAGAGGAAATTCTGTTCCTCCTCAACAGTAGAATTTCTTTATTGCATGTATGTGGCTGAGCAGGTCACCACAGGACAGAAAAATCCTGTGGCAATGAAACCCAACCTGGACTGTTTGGGAGTGCAGGAAGAAAGGAAAAGGGAAATGGAAGGGAAAGGTGAGGTTTGGAGTACGAGGCATTCTTCCGAGCTCACAAGGTGTCCGGAAGGCAGGGGCGGGGGGCTGGCAGTGAAGGGAGCCCAGCACCGGGGGCAGAGCGCACCAGTGGACTCATTGACGACAAGGCCTTTGAGAGGTTCCGTAAGCCAATGGTGGTTCACCTTCTTCTGAACCCCTCAGCTTGTCTTTTTGATCAATTTGAGTGTGATTTATCTTTTTCCTTAGAAGCAAAGGTATTACTGTCAAGAACCTTTGCTAATAGCCTTGCCCTCCACATTGAGCATTAAAGCTCCCATTAAAGTGGCTGAAACCTTACATTACTGATGAAAACTGTAGATGATATGTCATTTATAATGATACTTTGTTCTTCTAAAAGGCCTTTGTTCTGAAAGTCCAAGGTGCTTAACACTATGTGGTCTCATTAATCTTTTCCATCAAAACACATGAGCTTTTAGAAAGTCATCAAGACTGATGAAGTAGAAGTATATTCCTTTCTATTTTCTTCAGTTTTGGTCAGAATTCTCTAAAAGTAAGTAGTGCTTTAAACAAAAAACATAATTTCTGGGTGTGGCAGTGCTAGTAATTTAAATGGACTACTTGAGTATTTTCAATGAAAGACTTGATTAATTCTTCCTATGATTTTAATAAGCAAAAGACGTTTCCCATTTTCGTCAAAGAATCCAAAACGGGAAAGGCAACACTTCCTATTCATAGAAAGTGATGGAATGTAAGATACCTTTTACTTTTTTCCTGCAGGGCTTTAGTGGTTAAGCATTACCAGTCACATCCGCATAATTTGAAACCAAAAAACAAAAAATAACTGAACTATGGTGTTTCTCCAATTTTACTTAGGCGGATTAACTCATATGCTCACTTCCATGAACCTGTAAAAATACTATTGAACGCAGTACATATAAATAGGAGAATCTCTATCTCATCTTCTCTCCAAATTCATATTTCCAACAGCCTCTGCAACACACCTAAATTTCCTACAGGCAGCATAAATAAGCATGTGGCTCACTGGCCTCTACCCTAAACCCATTCTCTTCCCAGAATAGTCCCAGATGCTGAAAGTGACTCTTCTGTTCCTCTCAATTACCCAGGCCAAAAAACCTGACTTGCTTCTTTGACTCTTCCACTCTGTTTCTCTCCTCATCCAAATGAGATGTGATTTTTATGTCCCAAATGCAGTTTCAATCAGGTTTCTCTTTGTCACCGCTTTTGCCCAGGGCTTTGTTATTTCCCATCTGGAAGTGGGAGGATCCCCCTAATGGGGCTCCAGTTCATCCCACACATCCCAGCCGCAGTGAGCTGGCCAGAACACAGATCTCAACAGGTTATCCTCAACTTAAAATCTCTCATAGCCATGCACAGCCTATTGGAGGAAGTCTAAATTTCTTAGAAGAGCCTGCAAGACCTTCATGGTTGGCCTTGCTCTAACTCTTCACCTCCTTTCCCTCCAAGACCCCCCAAATCCCAGCCATTATGAATGATTTGAAGAGGCCTGAAGCCAACATCGTCCCATGTCTTTGTCAGTGCTGGTCTTGCTCGTCCACCCAACCACCCAGATCGGCCCGTTCATCCTCCAGGCCATGCTCAATGTTCGTGTCCTCTGTCCTCTGTCCTCTGTCCTCTGTGAAGCCCGCTGCAAGCCCTCCTGGCCTCCTGCCCTCCCTGTCCTCAGCCTACTCTTCCCTTTGTGCATGTCCCATTCCTCTCTCACAGCACTTACGGTGCTGCCTAGAAATTGCTTATTGGTTATCTGTCTCCATATCCAAGTTGTTAGTTCTTTGAGGGCTGAGAATTTTTTTTCTCATTCATCTTTATTATTGCCAGTGCCAAACTGAGTGATGAGCACATGGTGGGTCCTCAAACATTTGTTGAGTGATTATTAGGAAATCAATGATTCCATTACTTTACTACTACTGAACATATTATTTCTTACAATAGAGTTGGATGAGTAGGAAATAATTGAGGAAACAAACAAGATGTGGAAGTGGCACCCTAAACATTTCAAAATCTTACAGTAAGGAGTGCTGCGGATGCACAAATATTCTTAACAGTATGGAAATGCTGAGCTGAAAGTTTCTGTTTAGAGAACTGAAATGTGCAATCAGGTTTCCCCCATAAACAAGTTTGCAGAAATGAACAGCAGATGGGTTACATTAATCCATTGATATTGGGGACAGTTACTTAACACCCAAGAGTAATCAATGTTTTTCCTATTAAACTGCAATGAGTTAATGGAATGTTTACACTTTTGCAGTGCTTCTTTACAAAGGAGAATTTTTACTTTACTTATTATAGTATTCCATAATAAAATGTAAATGGGCATTGCTTTCCTCTGCCAGATGATTACCCCAGAATCCATTTCGATGAAAATAACATTTGCAGAGAACTATCCAGAAAGGAAAGCAAAAATAAATGAAATACTCACTGTCCCATTTGCTGACTGGTGTTTGGTTTGTAACATTTGGCACATCTTGATATCTACATAATAGTAGTTTTAGAACCATAAATAATACTTTACAGAGGTCACACCATAATTATTTAAGTTTAGGGGTTTATTTCCCTGAGCACAAAGTAGCTATGAATGAATTATGTTGAGTCTGATCTGCCACAGAAGGGCCATAAACCTCCAAGTCATAGCAAACTCTGGAATATTACGCCAATACGTCAGGAAAATTGTACATGTAAAAGAATCATGCATGATAAGGGAAAGGGGTTTTTTTTTTTTTGGTTTTTTTTTTTTTTTAGCAATATATGTTACTGGGCAGGAGCTATAAAATTTTGTTATGTTAAACTTTCCTCTGATTCTGGAAAACAAGTTAAGAAGTAGCCTAGCGTCATCAGCCCTAAACCAGCCAAACAGGCCGTGGCACCAGGGAAAGGGCCTGGGAAGGAGCGCTTGGCCTTGAATTAGGAAGTTTCTCTTCCGAGGTACCTGCACCTCAAAAAGATGGAAATAGAAAAGCTTCGAGAACACAAAGGGTGGTTTTGCAAACTTCTCCTGACTGCCAGCGTTCTCTGCCAGTGACTCCTAGGCAAGTGTTTCTGTAAATACTCAGGAGGGAGGGAAGAGATAGTTTTTAGCATTAAGGTGCAGTTCATTTTTAAAATAAAATCTAGTTAAAAGTCTTAAATGAAACTGGTAAGCACTTAACCATACGCCAGACGACATGCTAAGCAATTTCCCTTGGTTTTCTCATTTAAGTTTTCCAACATTCATATCATCCCCATTTTTACCAATGTGGAAACAGGGGTTTAGAAAAATTTTTTAAAAAATGGACCGAGGAGACCCATTTGGTGAGAGATGACCAGGACAGCAGCTGAGGTCAATGTGACTGCAAAAACCCCCTGCTAATTCAAAGTCGATACTGACGCTTTCCAGGCAAGGATCTAAGCACCTATATTATCACACTGTTAACCTCACAGAGATCCTATCAAATAGATACTATTATTATCTGTCACAGTTGAGGAAGCGGAAGCTCAGAGAGGTGAAGTAACTAGCTTCAGGCAGCACAGACGGTAACTGAGAGCCACGGTTCAAACCAGCTGGTCAGGCTGAGGGGCCACAATGAGGCACTAGACTTTGCACCCTCTATG